GAAAAAAAATATTATTATTATCGTCATCAATTAATAATATTTTATGTATAAAAAGATTGATTTAATATAAACATCATCCATTTGTTTTTCGGTAACCGTGTGAAAAGTTATTATTTTATAAATTTTTTTTGCGATAGAAAAAAGTTAAAAAATTTTTGCAACTTGACAATTTTTTTTTTTTTTTTTAAGAAAAGGTTAAAAGGTTATAATAAATAATAAAAAAATTTATTCGATAAGTGACTCCTAAGTCGTTAGATATTCGAAAAAAATATAATTAAAATAATTATTAATAAATAATAAATAAATAAATAAATAAATTTTTCGTGGTACACGATATACGTTCGTTCGATATACATTATTTATTATGCTGTCGTTAATTCTTAGGTCAAGGGAAATTCTTTATAAAAAAAAAAAAACTATGATGGGGAGCCATTATTATTTACAATAACAATGTCTGACGTTAAAAGTGTATAATTAAAAAGTATATAAAAACATTGTGTTATTTTTTTATTTATGTATTTTATCTATTAAAGTGATATTAAAACGCCAAGTGTTTTTAATTTTAAATATGGAGGAACAAGATAAATCAAGTTATTTAGGTAACGTTTTACAATTTGCCGTTTCAACAGCATTACAATTCGTCGATTTTAAAACTAATAATAATAATAATAATAATAATATGGAAAAAAACGACGAGGAAGAAATCGATGATGTAAATATAAAAACAGAACATTTAAGAGAAATTAATCTCGATCAAATTTCATGGCACGATCAAATCGATGATTGTTGGGTTATTTTATACGATAGAGTTTATGACGTAACGGAATTTTTACAACAGGTACAAAAAGTATAAATAATAATAATAATTAATATAATACCGATAAACCATATTCATTTTTTTTTTTTTTTTATTAATTAGCATCCGGGTGGTATTGATGTTTTGTTAGAATATGCCGGAAGAGATGCAACAATAGCATATCGTGGATTCGGACACAGTTCCCACGCTTGGAAAATCTTACAAAAATATTTAATCGGTGTCCTTCCGGAAAATGAAAGAATGAAAATATTTAAACCGTGTGAAATGGAAATGAACTTTCAACTAAAAGCAGCAAGTTCATGACAATTCATTAATAATTTTCGTGTATAAAATCGTTCTAACTTTTTCAACTTAATCCGTCCCTGAACTATAAAATACGATATAGTATTTAAATTATAATTTTTTTTTTTTATACTATTACGTTAAGTACAATTTATATATTTAAAAATAAAATTTAATTTTGTCTTAATTATTATTTTTTTCTTTCACATAAAAAATTTATTTTATTTTTTATTTAATACTTTTATAACAAAAATATAATTAAACGAACCTAATTAAAAATGAAGAGAATCCAAAACGTTTCGATTGTGTAAATAAATTGCGCATATTTTTTTTTTAAATATTAATTTCAATCCGGTCATAGATAGAAAATTTATATTTTATTCCATTCATTTATTTATTTTAAATTACAAAAAAAAAAAAAAAAAAAAGATTAATAATTTTTGAACTCTGATAACACAATCAATTAAATCAATACAAAAAAACTCAATAAAACTGGTTTGATTGTGAAATCATCATCATCATCATCAACGTTTAATTGTGAAAGATGTTCACATTTAATTAATTACATCCTAAATAATAATAATAATAATCACGTGTTTATTCTCAGGTTAATCACAAAGTTATGTAAAATTTATTTGTATTATCATCATTATTTATTTATTTATTAAAATGATTATGTGAATTTATTTTAAAAATTATTAATTAATTTCTACGCGTTAAATTCTTTTAATTTCAACAAAAATAAAATAAAGGGAAAAATCGTATCCTGTGCATTTTAATAAATTTATTTAACAGGAAATTTTATGTGACGTACATTAATAAAAAAATTATTAAACTTATTTATCTTATCGTTAAAAAAAAAAAAAAAATATTATTTGTTACATACAAAAGGATAAATGTCAGGACGTAAAGCCTGTTGACAATAATTTTCATTAAAAATAAAGCCTATTTTTTAACGACAATAAAATAAACAGAAAAAATTAAAATTTTATTTATTTATTTATTTTTTGTTAAACCAGAAGAAATTTATTTTGCACTTACCTTCCCATCCGGTGGCAGGGTGAGTGTGGAACTCAACCGAAATTACTTCCCAACTAAATCTCTTGGGCGTTTCACCGTGATTTTTCCCGAGGGGAGGGGCATTTGAGAGAGTACAACCTACATTTCAGGCTCAACCCACCCCGTCCTAAGCCAAAACCATCAGGTTCACACTCGCGAAATTGGGAATCCCACCTGAGGAAGGTCTCCTTTTAACCCTTCGAGGCACTCCCGATCTGTTACCATCGTTCTTGCTTCTTCTGCAAAGTTTCCGGAGAGATGTCCGGGGTTGCGAATCCCGTTGATCGTTTATCCGTCTTTCTGTCGCAGCTCCGCATTTTCCCTTTTTAGATCAAATATCCAGACTCACCCCCACAGAACAAGGGTTGGCGCATCCCCAAGGTCACTTACCCTCTTACGTAGGTACAGGTGTGTTCTTGTTAGAACGAGCTGAAATTAAATTACCACTCCTCTCGATTCGAACCCACGACTCACAACTCGGTGACTTTAGTGCCGATTTTTTCTTTCTTGGACTCAATTTGGCTACTTCAGACTCCCCCAAAGCATTCAAGTTTTACCCTTAGCGGTCGCCTAGTGACGTAACGTGGGAAATCCAATTCCAGTACCCCCGTCCGTAAACCACCACCATCACCACTTCCGGCTAATTGAAAATAAAAAATTTTTTTTTTAAATAATAATAAACAAGCAGACGAAATTATTTTCCCGATAAATTTAAATTCTAAATTCCTTTTTAAAAAAAAACCGAGTATAAAAATACTCGTGGTTATATATATAAATAATATAATAAAAATACATAAAATTTAAATTTCATATATGTATATAATTTTTTTATTTAAATTTTTCTAATTAAAAAATTAAAAAGATTAATTTTTCCATACAATTTATTTTTTATTTTTCTCCTTCCTTTAATTTTTTTAACAAATTATAATTTTTTTCATTTCCAGTTTCATTACATATATAACACTCATAAAAAAAAAACATTAACAAAAATTCTAACATTTTTATATTATTATTATTATTATTATTATTATTATTATTATTATTATTTTATTTAAAATATCATCATTGTTTCTTTAACATACATATATATATATATATATATATATATATATATATATATATATATATATATATATATATATATATATATATATATATACCTTATGCGAATTCAATTTAATCGCTTAACATTCATTTTTTCATATAATTTTATGCCGTATTTTTACAATTTAATTAATTTTTTTGCACACGTGTATACATACGTGCACGCAGTCTAACAAATTATTACATAAGTAAATTAAACATTATTAAATTCTTTTCAACTAATTATTATTATTTTTTTTTTTTCATGAAAAAAATTGTCATAAAAATTATTATTATAAAAACAAAAAAAATAAAACAAAAATTTGTAAAAAAAAAAAAAAAATATCAAAAAAAAACAATAATAATAATAATAATAATATGATACTCAAACAAATAATAATAATAATGATAAAAAATTTTTAATTATAATAAATTTAAAAACTTTTAAAAATCATAACGTATAAAATAAAATAAAATAAAAAAAAACAAAAATTATTATTATTATTTTTTTTTTTGCACGCAGATCAATCAATCAATCAATCAATCGATTATTTAAGTCTGTCAATGGGAGAGAGAGAGAGAGAGAGAGAGAGAGAAAAGAAAGAGTAATTAACGATCAAATTGATTTTTCTCAACAAGTAATAATGAACACATTTGAAAAGAGAAAATTAAAGTATTTTGTTGCGTAAAAAAAAAAAATGATTATAAAAAGTATACCGAATACAAACAAACGAACAAACAAACAAACAAAAAAAAATTTAAACAATAAAAAAAAAATTAAAAAAGTATACAAAAAATTATAAAAATATCAATTTTATTATCATTTTATTATTATTATTTTATGAGGCAGTTATTTTATAGTTACTTTTTTCTTTGAGAATTATTTTCATTATTATTATTATTATTATTATTATTATTATTATTATTTAAATAAAAAAACATATTTTTGTCTATTTCCGTTCAATTAAAAAAATTTATACAATAAATTCAAATATATATATTAAATATCAATAATCATAATCCTTCGTTTTTTTTTTTATAATTAAATTTACACGTTAATAATAATAATAATAATAATTCTATTAAAATAAAAAATTAATTAACAAAACAAAAAGAAATTGCGAGTTTAATTAAAAAAATAATAATAATAATATATATATATATATAAAATCCTGAGTAATAAATATATTTTTTTTGTCCGCATTACAAAAATAATAATAATAATAATAATAAAACAATAAATTCTGGAAATAAAATTAATTATTTAATAATTTCAATAAAAAAAAAAAAAAACAAACAAAATTAATAATAATAATAATAAATAAATCGTTTAAACGGATAGTAATTATTATTTATAAAAAAAAATTATCATTATTTTCAAAACATTTATATATATATATATATATATATATAAAAACATTTTCGGGGGGAGAGGGGGGGGGTAATTGTATAAAAAATCTATTATTAACAATGTATTAACCTAATAATTTTTTTTTCTTACACGTATATATATATATATATATATAAAGTCATATTTATGTACATTAATTGATCGCGTAAATCCTTATGCGCACACACATACATTTATGTACATAGATATGCGTGCATAAAAATTTACAATCAATAATAATAATAATAAAAGGAAAAAGGAATTCATGAATTCTTTGATTTGCATTCACTAATTATTCATCACAGACAACGTAATAGTAATAGTAATAATAATAATAATAATAATAATAATAATAATAATAAAAAGAAATTGATTTACATATATATATGTACATAACAATAACGAACGAGTCCTTTTTTCCAAGTCAAAAAATATTCATTTGATTTTAATTTATAAAACTATATTTTTTTTTATTAACAATAGAAGACACTAAAATTTTCTTACACATTCGTAAGCCTTCATCATCATCATCATCATCATTATCATCATATAAACAATTTTATTTAATCATTCTTTTGGAATTATTATCATTATTATTTTTTATATACATATATTAATAATACGATTAAACGTACGAAAAATGAGTGATTTAATTTTTTTTTTTTCTTCCCCTAATTAAAAGCAGGCAATGAGTAAGTAGCCAATTTTAAATAATAATAATAATAATAATAATAATAATAATAATAATAATAATAATAATAATAATAATAGTAATAATAATAATGATTGTAATTTGCTTTTTTTCTTTTCTCATCACAAAATAATTATCATTTTTTTTAAATTTAAAATTTAAATTTCATTATTATTATTATAATAAAAATTTGTCATTTATTTAAATTAAAAATTATATTTAAGGGGGGGGGGGGAAAAAAAGAAATAGCACTTGATTTATTATTATTATTATTATTATTATTATTTTTTGTTCCTCTAAATGAAGTTTTTATCGTAATTAATTTTTTTCTTTGTGTTTATTTTTCTCCCTCTTCACTGGATTAAAAATTTTTTTTTTTTTTACTTTTTCTTTTTTTTCTTTTTTAAGGCTCTTTAACAACCTAAAATTATTTGCAAATTAAAATTCACAACCATTGTTAATAAAATAAAAAAATTTTTTTGTTTTTGTTTTTAATGCACATAATAAATTTTTTTTTTTTTTTATAACTATACACATGCGTCTCTTTTTTTCTTTCTTTTAAGCATCATTCTTTACACATTTAACGGCATTTCCTAGCAGCAGCAGCAGCAGCCATTTAGTCAAAAATTATTATTATTATTATTATTATTATAATTGACAAACTTTTTCAAAAACTTTCCACCTTCAAAAGGTAACTATATATATATATATATATATATATATATCAAATTCAAGTGATGTTGAAAAAAAAAAAACTCATTTCTCCTCCCCCCCTTTGTTTTATCCAATCATCATCCGGATTTCAACGCCATTTTGTCATGTGTATGTACGTGCGCGTCACTTTTCTCATCCAATTTCCCTGGTAAATGAATCTTTCAACAAAGTGAAAAGAAAAAAAAAGGTATCGATGTTTACGAGTCGGATGACGAACCCAACATGTCCATGAGAAATGTATCTATGGGTATATCTCCGATCAAACGAAAGAAAAAAAGATGTTCCAAACATTTGAGACCGATTGATCTAAGAGCCGGAAGTCTGAGTAAAAGTTTTGCAAATCGTCCTGGTTCTTCCGGTCTCGTCACTCGAGTGTATTCTTCCAATGCGGCATAAACTTTTTCACGTAAAAGCTCAACTTCTTGCCCGGATTTCAAACCTCTTACTTCTACAAAAGTAAATATATATCACGATGCCAATCAAGCCAAACTTTTTTTTTTTTTTTTTTTTTTGTGTGTGAAATTGCAAAATAAATTTTACGGGTCTTACCCGGATTAAACAATATGATCGATCTCAAACATCCCAATTCCGTTCTGTCCATGTTCATGTCTCTCATTTTTGCGACTAGTTCGGTGAGAACTCTGTCAAATATTGTTCCAACTCCGGCTTGGTGAGCAGAATTTCTATGAACCGTTATACCGGCTCCGAGTACTATACCATCTCTCACTTCTACCGACCTATGCGAAAACGCAGCTATTAATAATTCATTCCAACCTGAAATAAACAAAAAAAATTTTATTTTAATTATGTCCTCTTCTTCTTCTTCTTCGTTAATGATAATATTTTCGTACCTGCTCGTAAAAGCAAAACTTGATCCTCGATGGGAAGCGAAGAAAAATGTGGAATGTGTTTAGCCCATTCGACTAATTGGTATAATTGAGTATTTGTCGCCTGGCAAATATTAGCCACAGCATTTTCATATTCGTTTTGATTTTCTACTTTACATTCTACTCTTTTTTCAGCTTCTAATATCCTTTCGACCGGCATATCCGCTTGCATTGCTCCCGATGATTCCACTTCACCTTGTTCTCGTTCTTTTGTTCTTTGTCTTTCCTCCTTAAATAGTTATATATAGAAAAAATTTTTTTTTTTTTTTTTTTTTTTACGAATCGATTCTTAAAGGACTTTAAAAAGGAATGGGTGGGGGAGGGAGAGGGGGGTGTTTTAATCGTTGGCATTTTCATCAAAAAAAATTTAATTTAATTTTTTATTAACCTGAACTGCTTCTCTTTTCATTCCCATCGCTAAACATTTATTATATCGGCAAAATTGACATCTATTCCTTTGCCTTTTATCTATAATGCAATTCCTTTCTTCTCGGCATGCGTATGTGAGATCTTTCCGTACCGTCCTTTTGAAAAACCCTTTGCATCCTTCGCAACTGAAATGAGAAAAGAAGGAAGACATATATTTCAAATCGGGTATCAATGAGCAACAGTTCCACAACTATTACTTCTATTGATAAAAAAAAAATATCAACAACAATTATTCCAATTTTTTTTTTCTTTTTTCCTCGTAAGATTTTTTTTTTTTTGGTACGAGGTGCTGATTTAAACAAAAAAAAGGATATCAACATTATAAAATGATTTTTCTCACGAAAAATTTTCCTCCTCTATCTCTTTCTTTCTTTCAGTTATTTTAAAAATCAAGGTCTCTTGGTATCGATGCGATTAGATATTGGATTTTCGTCATAGGTTAGGCGGTTGTTTCGTTTGTACGACGACGACGACGACGACTCATGCAAATGAGAAGAAAAATAATGCGAAAAATTAACTAACAATCGATCAGAAAAAAAAAAAAAAAAAAACCAGAGTTCAGAGGTCAATGCCAATTTAAGTTCACTAGGTAAGTAAGTAAGCAAGCAAGCGATTGAAGCAAAGCCTAAATGAAAAAAAAAAAAAAAAAAAAAACTTGAATTCTTAAATTTTTTTAAACAACATTTCGATTAATTTAAACTCATCACCCCAAAAAAAAAAGAATCCGCGGAAAAACTCATCCCCTTTATTCAGCGTGATAAATTTCGCAAAATTGTGTTCCGGGGGAATGGGGGAGGAGGGGAAAAGGAGGGTATGAGGGTAAAAGTAAAAACCGGTTTTTATTTTTTTTTTTTTTTTTTAGCTGCGGGGGCATTGAATTTAACGTTTCACTTCTAGAAAAAATATATTTAATTTTCAAGTTTTTTTTTTTTTTTTTTTTTTTACGAAATTATTTTCGAGAAAAGAAAAAGGAAGAAAAATGAAGATTATAATAATAATAATAATAAATTTTGTTTTTTTTTTTTTTTTTTTTCGAAGGAAAACAAGTTCAAAACAAAATCTTTCACGGAATTCTAAAATGAATCATCGTGATCATTACACAATAATTATATAAATTTTTAAAAAAAATCAAATTTCCATTCCTGTTCCAAGTTCCCTACTTTTTAACTCTTGAAAAAAAAAAATTTCTTACCAGGAGGAAAATTTCAGAATATTTAATAAAACTCGATATCACAAACCCATAAAAAAAAGAGAGAGAGAGAGAGAGAAAAACAATGTTTGTTTGTTTTTAACACACATCATAAAAATTTCGGTTAAATCGGTCGATTGTTAAAGTTTAATTACACAATAAATCAATATTAACGAACTTGGAATCCTTCAAAATAACAAAAAAAAAAAAAAAAAAAAAATCCCGAAATTCCTGTGACTTTTTTCAAACACGACCGACCGACTGACCTCGAAATTCCAGTAGCTTCCAAAAAAAAAAAAAAATAACCAAGCGCCAGGTATTATTCTTTCAACAACAAAAAAATAGAAATAATAATAATTATTATTATTAAAAGATCTTTATAACGGTATCACGGGGAGACCAATACAAATCATTTTAGAAAGCAAACAAATTTCTAATAGTTTGCCTTATAAAAAACTAAAATTGGGGGGAGGAGAGGGGAAGGGAAGGGAAAAAAATGTACGCAACAAGTTTTTGACTAGGAAAAATACATGAAAACGTGAGAAAACAAACAAAATTTTTTTTTTTTTTATTTAAAACTCTTTCTTTCTCCTGCCTTGTTGTTGTTGTTGTTGTTGTTCGAGAGAACAACATTACTTTGTCGATTCTGACTACGTCAACAAATCAGGAAAATCAGCAAAATCGCGAATATATCACGACGACGTGGAAATCAGAAATGAGACAAAAAAAAATCGTGCTTAAATATTTAAACTGCAAACTGTTCGAATAACAAAGAAAAACAATTCTCAGCTTCACAGAATCAAATGAAAAAAAAAAATTAATTCATCATAAGCTTTTTTTTTTAGATTACCCAAGCTATTTCGATGTTTTTAATGCGTCGTAATTAATTAAAAATACTACCCCCTTCCCCCTTTCCCCCTTCTCCCTCGGGAACTAACTCTTTCGAGGTGACCCCAACATTAAATATTATTTTACCTATAAACTCCGTAATGTTTCCCACTGGCTCTGTCACCGCATATGGAACATAAATGTTTCGAACCGCTCAAAGGATGATTCGGAGGATAAGACGCCATTTTGTTATTTGAATTATTTCCAATGAGACTACTGTGACCCATGGTAAACGAGCTGGAGGAAAATGGAAAGAAAAAAAGTTTTTAAAAAAAATTTTCCTTTTTTTGAAAAAAGTTTTTCTTTCTTTTTTTTTTTTTTTTTGTTTACTTCGGACTGTTGGGTCCTCCGTTGGGTGAAAAATTTCCTCCTAGTAATGTCGCCGTGTCTGGTTTCATATCCAAAGGCGATTGAGGACCACCAAGCTCAACACTCAGCACTGAAACATAAAAAAAAAAGGAACAAATGGTTATTTTAACGCATCATCACATTCGTCTTCCCTATTAATTAATAAAAAAAAAAAAAAAAAAAAACCTTTCCCAGCCGATTTATGAACGTTTGAAAGCTCTCCGCTTAATTACAATGACGTGAGCATGGAAAATTATTTTTATGGTCATAACCGGAAATTCGTGCAGACTTTGAAACATGTGATTAGCCTTACAACTAAATTAAATTCACATATAATAATAATAATAATAATGCTTCTTTTTTTTCGAATTAAATCTAGAAATCCGTAGTTCGAAGTAAGTAAAACTTTTTTTTCAAAGTTTTTTTTATTGATTTTCATAGACTTTCTTTCATCAATTACACAAAAATAAAAAATAAAAAACGTCGTTTGAAAAGATGGGGGTTTCACATTACTCTTCATTTTTTTCCCCCTTTTTTATTATGATATGTAAAAAAAATCAAAATCTTTGCAGTCGTATTATTATTATTATTATTATTAAGGTGTTCAATTTAAAACCGATTCAGCTTTTTTAAAAAGATAATATTTACTTTTTGCATTTAATTTAATACAAAAAATAAAATCAAATCGTAATACTGATGATGATGATGATGATGATGATTTTATTATTGCGAGTTAGTTTAAAACTAATCCATTAAAAAAAGAAAAAAAAAGAAAAGTTTGAATGCATCCTGCGATGCTACTAGACAACATGCATTTGCAAACGATTATACTAAAGGAACCTTATTAAGTAATACAATTATTATTATTATTATTATCAAGACCTTGCCAAATGCATTTCATCATTTTCATCATATACATATTATTATTATTATATTTTTTTTTTTCAGGAAACAAAAGATATTAACTGGCCTTCGTAGACGTTTAATATTTTTTTTTTATTTTATTTTTTTCCTTCCAATTTAGTTTTTCAAGGATATTGAATACGTGGACTTTCATCATCATAACGAATAAATAAGGGGGAAAAAAAAAAAAAAAAAAATTTCATTGACGGTTTTAAAAGCAAACCATTTTTTTTTTTTTTTTTTTTTTGATTTCGTCAAGTAGAAAAAAAAAACCGATACAAACTTGTTTGCAATCGAAGCAATCTAATTATTAAACGCAAAAAAAAAAAAAAAAAAAAAAAAATTTCTATACTTTTATATTGGACCAATACGAAACCCCATTTTAAAACGTAACCGGCGACGAAAACAAAAGAACAATCGTAAACAACAACAATAATAATAATAATAATCGATAGCTTTTATTTATTTATTTATTTATTTACAATCACCCGATTGTGCGATAACACCTATCAATAAATTTATATATAAATGATTCCCGATATTTCAGACTCCTCGATCGAATCCCCGGGTAAACAACGTGGATTTTAATAATAATCAACGAAACCCCTTAAAATCAAATCCCTCGATAAATGCATAAAAAAAAAAACATAAAAAAAAAAAAAAATTTCTTTAAAATAAAGACATGAAGAAAATAATAATGATAATAATTGTTTTTTTTTTTTTTTTTTTTTTAAAACCGTGGTAAACAACAAACTTGTGCCAATTTGGCAATAAATTAATTTTAAATAAATATCATAAAAAAATTAACAAATAAAATCTTTTAAAATATATTATTTATTATTATTAAGAAAAAAAAAAAAAAAATTTTTTTAGTGTTTTTAAGGCGCCATTAATCATTCTTTTCCCTCTTCTTTACCCCCCCCCCCACGCTCCCGCTACCCCAATGATGGCCACAAAAACGAAAAATTAAATGTTTTGTTTCAAGGTGTGCGTGTGTTAGAATACCTTTCAAAATTTCTGAACAAAGTTTTCCTTTCCCCCTCCCCCCACTCCCCCCCGTTAAAAATGCAAGCTAAAATAAATAGATTTTTTTTTTTTATTGTCGTTCGAAAGACATAAAATTTTTATTTTAAGAGCAAAAAATATCACATCATTCTCTTTCATTCTTTATTCTCATCTTTTCCTCCCCCTCCTCATCCTCCTCCTTCTTATTTTTCTTTTTAAAAAAAAAAATTGTCTTTAAGGGGGTTAAAAAACAAACAAACACCAGACGACATCGAAATCGACCGACCATTTTTTTTTTTTTTTTTTATTATTTTATTGCAAAAATGTTTCGATTCATTTTTTTTTTTTTTTTTTTTTTTACTCTTTCAACAGTTGCAAGATTCGTTTCAAAAGATTTTCACATTCATTAATAAAAGAAGAACGAAAAAAAAAAAAAAAAACATTCCGATGGGATGCTGTGCATAAAAAAAAAAAAAACTAATTATTTATTTATTTTTAGATTTCAAACATGTCCAACAAAAATTTTATTCCCTGTTGCATTTTGCGTATTTTCTTTTGGGAATCCTCCTTCTCCACCCTTTTTTTTTTTTTTTTTGACACACATTTCGTTTCGTGATGTAGGTCGCATCTTTTTCACGATTAAATTTTTTTTTTAAATTTTTTCCTCGTTGTGACCCCACGAGAAAATTCATAAACCAACTTCATTCTTTTTCCTTAACAACGTGAATGAATGAAAAAAAAAAAAAAAGCAAAACAAATCAACCAAGCAGACGATTCTGAAACCTGAATTCGTAGAAAAGCCAAAATATCCTTAGACGAAAATTACAAACAAAATTGAATCGAAACCTTAAACGAAAAAAAAAAAATCCTAACGAGGTTACACAGAAATTTTTCAGGTTTTTTTTTTGAAATTTTTATTTATTTATTTATTTATTTATTTTTTTTCAAATTTATGTAACATTGTTTACAAAAATATAAATAAATAAATAAAATTTTATTTTTTTATGACAAAATGCATTTTGTAGCTCAAAACTGTCAAATTCCGACACACACACACACACACACATCATTTCCAACGAACGAACGTCACGTGTTAAGCAACTAGATTTTTAGTATTACTATTATTATTATTTATTTATTTTTCAAGGTCAAGGATGACTGGTATCTGGAGATGCATACACTGTGTTTTTGCTTGTCACATTAAGAATCAATTATCAACTTTTTTTTTTTCAAACTTTAATTTTTTTTTAAAAATATATTTTATATATTAAGAATTTAAAATTCGACGCCAGCCAGAGTTTCACTTTTCCTAAAAACAACAACAACAACAACGCACGAGTTATGGTTGTTCTTTTTTCATATAACTGTATTTTCCATTTCCCCCCTACGTTTGTTTGTTTGTTTGTTTCTGTTTGTTTTATTGTTTTCGCATGTTTATATATTTTTAAAACACTAGATTTCAGATTTTGTACCGAATGAAAAACACCACATACACCATCAGCAAAAAAAAAAAATTATTTATTTATTTATTTTTGTACTCAACGACTGTGGGTTTAACAATTCTTACAATTTATTTTTACATCTCTCTCTCTCTCTCACACACACACACGTGGATTTCAAAAACATAAGGAATTTATTACATAATTTGCAAAAAATATCGATCGTGTATATTTCCTTCGTTTAATGGTAGCCCTTAAAAATATTCTCCATCTTTCGTTAAAAATAAAATTTCCCTCCTCGCAAACAGGCAGAAACAGGAGAGGGAAAGAAAGAGAGAGAGAGAGAGAGGGAGAAAACTTTGTTGAAGGTTGTTCGATTTAACATTTGCTCAACGAAATGAATGCACGTTATGCAGTTCGAACATTGAAAAAAATGCAAAATGTAAATTTTCTAAAAATAAAAATGTCGATGGTATAATAAAAAATTGCAAGTAATAATAATAATAATAATAATAATAATAATATGAGCAAACAAAGAAAAAAATTACGTAATAATATTTTGTTGACTGTTCAACACGGATCATTTTCTACAGATCATTTTCAATCATCATCATCATCATCATCAGACTAGTACGAAATCGATAAAATAATGTAAAATTCTAATTTTTTTTTAAAAACCAACAATTTTATTTATTATTATTATTATTTTTTTTTTTTTTTTTCATTCCCAACATTAGTTTTTGGGGATAAAAATTAACTTTTAAAAAAAAATTTAATCGACTAAAATTGTTAACATTAATAACTCTTCATTTAAGTGACAGAAATAAATAAATAAATCATCATCGTTGGTTTAAATGCATATCATTTTCTCTCTCTCTCTCTCTCTTTCTCTTTCTCTCATTTAAACTCATATCGTCTGAAATAAATTTCATATTTTACTACCCTCAAATGATTTAATCAAAAAAAAAAAAAAAAAAAAAAAAAAAAAATCAATAAAAAACACGAAATTTCCCCATTTTACAAATCGAAATAATAATAATAATAATAAAGGTTTATGTTATTTTTAAGTTTTTTCGCTGAATGTTTTTAAATAGTTGTTGGAAAGAGAGAAGAGAAGAAAAGAGAAGGGGGAGGGGGGAAACGGGAGTGGAATTATTAACGAAACCGACCTTGTCAACTTTTTATATATATAGCTATGATTCCTAGATTTTCCTTTTGTTGTAACTCCCATAAAAATTCAAAAAAAAAAAAAACTTGATGATACTTGTAAGAATTTTTTTTACAACTTGCATAGCAACTCCAGAGAGAGAGAGAGAGAGAGAGAAAAATTGTTTTTATATCAAAAACTATTATTGGTACCATTGGTAACACAATTTTCTTTTATTTTTTTTTTTTTTGGAACAAATAATTATTTACTTTCCACCACGACATAAATAAACATAAGTAGTAAATCAATAGGCGCGTGATATTGACATGACGCAACACAAACACATCATACAAATTATTGTAGGCGTATGAGATAAAAGAAGATGGAGTATAGAAGGCATTTTCTAAACTATTATTATTATTATTATTATTATTATTATTATTATTATTATTATTATTTGCGACAAAATAATAAAAAAAAAAATTAAATTTTTTTTTTTTGTGTGTGTGCTCAAAATGACTTTTCGCCCGTCTCGATTTAATAGAATTGAACTCAATTTTTTTTTTTTTTCTAACCGAGTTCAAATAATTAAGCTCAACACAAGTTGGATTTCATGCCGTCGTCGTCGTGTCATTTTGTGAATTAAAAAAATAAAAATTCAAGTTCGAGGTCTTTTACATCATGTTCTCTCAACGACAGAAAAACAAATAATAATAATAATAGTAATAATAATAATAATAATAATAATAAGTCGGCGGTTTAAATTTCTATTTTCATTTTACGATTTTCAATTCGAAATACGAGCGAGAAATTTCTTCTTATACTTTACGACCGATTCAATTTTTTTTTTTTTTGTTTATTTATAATTTTTAAGTTCTTTAAGATTTAATTCGTTAAATTTCTTCATCAAATGTTTTTTCCCCTCCCCCTCCCTCCTTCTTTTAGTCACACGAAAATCCAGTCAATAGTAAGAAAAAATAATAATAATAATTTTTTTTCTATAAAATTTTTCAACTCTCGAATTCTATCAATCAAAGAAAACATCAATGATTTACTAAAAAATAATAATAATAATAATAATAGTAATGAAAATAATAAAAACAAGGAATTCTTCAACATTTTAACGTTTAGTGACATTGACTTTTTCCCGCCAAAAATAAAAAAAAAAAACAAATTTTTTTTTCTTACAATTTTTCTCATTGCAAATATCACGGCCGACCGACAATGACGTAATAACAAACGTTTAAAACAACATTTTAATTTCGAATTTATTATTATAAAAATAATATTAATAATAATAATAATAATGATTAATGCATCGTGTAAAACACAATTTTCTTTTTTAAGACTCCCATCTATTGCAATCAACTCAACTTTCAATACCAGTTTGATTCAATATGGCAGAGAAAGAAGTGACAACCAACGCGGCTCAGTGCGTTATAATAAAATTTCTCACGCGAGAAAAAATTCCTCCCGCTGACATTTACGCAAGATTAAAAGCTCAATTTCAAGATGATTGTTTGTCTCAGGCAAAAGTTTTCATATTGTCCAAATCGTTCAACGACAAAAAAAGGGAAGATGAACAAAAGAGTGGAACGGAGGAGGAAAAATAAAAGATGAACTTTTTGTCTTGAACCTTAAAAAAGGAAAAAATTTTTTACGTTGGCGATTCGTTGTAAAAAAAAAATAATAAAAATAAAAATAAAATGATATTAATGAAATTTGCATCATGTTTTCTTTTTTCCTTTTTTTTGTCTTCTGCTTTTTTTTGTCTTATATATTAGTAAATTTTTGGTATATTCATTTTTTCCCCTACCCTCTCGCATCGTGGCACAAAACTCGAATAACAACAAGTTAACCTTTGATTTTGTATAACTAATACAACAACATCCTTGATTATTCATTTATAATGCTAAAAAAAATTTTCAATTTATTTTTATTTTTATTTTTTTTTGATTTTTCATTTAGGGGGGGGGGAGTCCCATAAAAATAATTCAATCACTCTATTAAAACCCTCTTGTTCGATGTGTATCGATCGTGCCTGGTTTTGTGGCTTTTTGCCATTAAAAAAAAAAAAAAAAAATCATCTGTCAATTGCGTAAGAATGAATGATTGGCATCACATGTCCGGAAGCGTAAAAAAAAAAAAAATAAAATAAACACAACATGTTAAATAATAATCGTTTGAAGTTTAATTTTTTTTTTTTCTTATTTTTACCCAAGATTTTGTTCGAGATTCTACATCGAGAAAATTAATTTTTAAACACATTCCCTATGATAAGCTAATAGTTTATAGTTTTCCCCGTATCAGCGAGGGAATTTTAACTTTAATTTATTAAAATAAATTCGCATAAAATTCTAAATTTAACTTTTTTCAATTCGCAAGAATTTAGAATTTTTCCTTCAATGACGACTATTAGAAATCATTTTCACACGCCATAGTTTCTACCACCTTTCGAATCTGTCTCGCTCATTGTTCGCGTTAGTATTATGACGCATTTGCTTCGATGAATAATTTTTTTTTTTTTTTTATCTTTAAGATAGACAAAAGACTCAATTGAAAAAGAAAAAAAAATGAATACCGACGACGACCTATATTTTTCTTTTCCTCCTTGACAATAAATAAATCCGAAGGCCGCGATGCTTAACATTACAACAACGTTTGCATGTCAGCCTTTCGAGACACAACAACAACAACAACAACCTTCAAATAAGCTTGTCAAAGATGGAGACAGAGAGAGAGAGAGAGAGAGAGAGAGAACAGTATAATTATATCATTCATTCATTCATTCATTTTATGCAACAGCATTCGTTTCAAGGTAACATTTAAGTAATTAATTAAAATCAATTCAAGTTATAAATTTAAATAAATCTCTCGAGTGTTTAATAAAAAAATTTTTTCCTATCCAAAGACACAAAAAAAAAAAAAAAAAAAAAAAAATGTGGCAACTTTAATAAAGCTGGGTCAGGTGTAGGTCGGTCCAAGGCCAAAACCATCAAGGTTACCATTTATTTCATATTTTCCAAACGTCGCCTATACAGCACATACGATACAGCTCAAAAGTAGGGTACGCTATGCTTTTTATTAAAAAAAAAAAAAAAAAGAAAATCTCAGAACAACATTTGAAACATTTCTCCCCCGTCGAAAACTCGAAAAAAGCCATTTTTAAAAATTCTTTTACAATCTACAATTTTGCCAAAATTAAGAAACACAATTATCGATTTTTTATCAAAAACAAAGACCGTGCTTAGACACGATTTAACTTAATATATATTATCAGCAACAGCAGGCTAATTTAATTTCTTTTTTTTTCCTAACAAACTAATTTGCAAAAATGCATTTTTAAAAACTAAAAATTTTTTTAAACTACCAAAAAGTCTTACATCTTCGCCGATTTACTCTCTCACTCCCACACACGGCAAATTCTTTGAGCATGTTCCCTCTCTCTCTCTCTAACGAGTGGTTAAAATTAAATGTAAAGTAATTAAAATACGCGAGTAGGTAGGTAGGTAGGTTACTTGGTAGGTATTAGCAGCACACTCGTGGGGCCTCATTAACGTAAGCCGCATTTAAAATCAAATCATAATCATCTTTCATTAATCAAGTTTTTTTTTCTTTTGCCCATCTTTAACCTTTACTTGCTTACAGATGCTCTCAAGGCTACCAATCCTCGTCATTCAGGTGACACTGAAAAGAAAAACCTAAATATTTGTCTTTTGAAACAGTGACCTCTACCATTGACAGCCAAACAAAAAAAAAAAAACAAATCTTCCTGGTTCGAGAAAAAGAATTTTCGTAATTCATTACCAACTCAATTTTTTAATTATTATTATTATTGTCGAGCCTGAGATTCTAAAACGTTTTAGCGCAATATTTAAAAGAAAAATTTATTATTATTATTATTATTATTATTTTGCATATTCATATCGTAATTTTACAAAATTGGGTCACCGTAATACTTAGTTACAATGACCTATCAATTTACAAGTTCGAACAATAGTTTCAAATACACGTTTTCATTTCATTTTTTTTTTTTTTTTGTTTTTCATTCTAACAGTTTAAAAACATTAAAATATGAAAAGAATTAATAAAAATTAACATTGAATCACAATTTTTATAGTTTTTTAACCAAAAAAAAAACTTTCAAAATTAAATTAATACTTAATCTACAAATAAAGGCCAGAAAACCCTAAAATCACGTGTAAAACCAAAAATTCCCAATTAAATATATACATGTAAAAGACGTGTAATTTATAAAATCGCCATTTTTAAAATCGAATTCAAAACAAAAAAAATATTTATGCGCGAAAACAAAATCGCTGCAACAGCATTTAATTTATTTAACATTTTAAATTTGTTGGAACCATTATACTAAAAATATTCATCGTACTATATTATTTTTTAAAAACAAATAAAAATGCCTTAATTTATTAAACCTGTAATAAATTAGGACGTTTTAAACAACTAAATACAGTTTTATTCACTAAAATTATTTTACTTGCTCGATTGTTTTACAGCAAAAATTTTTTTTTTGAAACAGATTCAAAAACAAATTTCAAAAAAAAAATAATAATAAAATTTAATAATAACAAAATTAATTTTATGTATTTTAATAAATATTTTACGCGGTAAAAATTACTATTTTTTTTAAAAATTAAATGTCACGTTAATAAAAATATATATTTTAAAGATATTTTATTTTAATAAAAAAAAAAAAAAAGTAATAATGATAAATTTTTGGCGAGAAAAAAGCAGAGGCAAATTAAATCAAAAAAAAAAAAAAATAATAATAATAATAATAAGGCGTAAAATAAAAACGATTTTCAATTTGAATTTAAAAAAAAAAAAAAAAAAAAATTACCTCTGCTCCAGTGTTGAACTTGTACTCCCTGAATAATTGCTGCAACCGACAGCATCGGTTTATCCTTCTTCATCATCCCAAATTTTCCTTTTTTTTTTTATACTAAAACGTTTTTAATATAAAACTACTACTCACACTCGTTTTTAAATGGCAAAAACAAAACGAAAACAGTAGCAGAGCGTTGATTACCTTAACTTTACACCATTTGATAATATTATTATTATCGCTGACAAATGAATTCCCTACTTTTTGGAAGTTTATTAAAATAATAATAATAATAATAATAATAATATTACTCTGATTCAATAACCGTACGAAAAAAAAAATGGAAAAAACCGAACGCGAATTTTTTTTTTTTTTAATGCTAACGTTCACACTTTTGTTATACTCTGGTCACAAGTACACGGTGCTTACTTAGTAAACAAGTTTTTACTTTGGTTAATCGGCTTTTTTTTTTTTTTTTTTTTTTTACCTAGAAGCGGTAAAATAAAATAAAATAAAATGTTTCGAATGTGTTACTACCATCGAGACTTTATGATAAATATATAAAATGATTTGATTTTAAACTAAAAACTAATTTTATAAAAAAAAAAATAAAAAAAAAACATATAAAATCCAGATACAAAAAAAAAAAAAAAAGCAAAAAAGCAAAATTCAAATTTGAAATACTGAATAATTTATATTTGTGATTTTTATTTATTTATTTATTATTATTATTATTACTCTTTGACTTTATCGTGATGCTATTAAAAGTGTCAAATGCTGTTGTCACATGGACTGAAAATAGTTTAAATATATATCACATTGATAAATTTCCTTTTTTTTTTTTTTTTTGTATTTGCATTTTTTTTATTAAATTTCTTTACCCTCGAAAAAAAAAAAAAATAAGTAACCGTCGAATTTGTTATATTTTTGATAAATGCACTTGAAATAATTTTTACAACGTTTTTTTTTTTTTTTTTTTTTTTTAGTCTATTAATTTGTTTAAACAAATAAATATTTTAACAAAACATTTAAAATTACACACATACTGTAGTAATTCATCAAAGGATTACAACGAGACTAAACTACGAGTGTTTGATTTAACTGACTGAGAGTTATAATGCTGAATGAGTCAAAGAAAACAATTGCAGATTCATTTTTTTTTTTTCAATTTTTTTTTTTTTTTAGCTTCCATATAACAAATTTTTACTTGTATTTTAAATTTCAATTGAATTTCAATCAAATTTTTTAAATTATTTTTATCACTTTCATTAATAATATTACTATTATTTTATTGTTTTTAAAAAAAAGAATACAAAGCAAAAAGATCATTGATAAAAATTTTTTGAAAATAATTATTATTAACCTTTCATTGAATTTTGCTTTTTCTGTATACATTTTTTTGTATATAAAAAATATAAAGGCAATAATTTTTATATGAATTTTATAACCCCTAAATATTAATACCAAAAAGTTTTTTTAATTTTTTTTTTTTTTTTGTTCAAAACATCATATCAATATTCTCTGCCATTTGCAAATGATCATTTTTTTTTTTTTTTTTTTTTTTTAGTTTAGATAACACCATTTAACTTGATCTCCTTGAAACCTGTAAGTAGGCTAACATCTACTTTTTTTTAGTTAAATGAAGTTTTTGTTAGCCATCTTTTTTTTTTTAATAGATGGAAGCACTTTGCAAACACCTTCTTAACCATTACTACTTAAACTTTTTTATCTTTCTTACTTTTTTTTTTTTTTTTTTTTTTTTTCCCAAGTCATCATTAAAAAGAAAAAAAATTTTATGACAAAAAAAATATTTTTTTTTTTGTAACCTAATTGGGAAAAATTTTATATTTCATCATTCGAAAACAGTTGAGTATTTAAGGTATTAATTCAGTGCATTGAAATAGTTTTATTGATTGTTTAAAATCTCAAATTGAAATAATAACAGGGAAATATATTAAATCTGACATTAACTGATATAATAAAGCATATGGAGAAATTGTTTCACAAAAATATTGTAAAGTTTTTAAAAAAAATCAAGTTCACATACGAAGATTTTTATCCTTGTAATTTATGTTTTTCTTCATTATAAAAATTTTATTTTTATGTTAATATTAAAAAGTAATTAGATAAAACAATAAATTAAGCATAAAAACATTTAAGTTCAAACAAATATAAAAACTAAATGATAACATTTCATTTGATTAAGAAGAAAAGAAAAAAAGTAATTCAGGTAAATGGCCAATTTTTTATTCAGTGATTGTTATAATTAATTAATTTTACCAAATGTCCAATATAATTGCATGTAAATCATATAAAAGTTTATCTACAATTTTTTTTTTTCCTTTTTAAACAAAACAGAATTGATTAAATTTTTTCTCTCACATAAAATATTTTAATAGACATGGGGAATATATATTTTAGAACAACTTAGGAAGTGATCATCAGAAATCGACCATAACAATGGGTAACTCTCAAGGTCAACGTATGAAAAAATAAAAAGGGTGAATTTAATTATGATATAAACTAACCAAATAAACGCATTTAGGTCAAAACTTTGAGATTATTAGGTCACCGACATTTATCGGTAATAATGCGACTGAAGGACAATTGCCGGGTTGTCGAACGCAAGGCCTCCGTCTGGTGCCTATACAGTCAGACATTGCCCCCAAAACTTTCAAAAGACTATTATAAATGTCTCCTTTTGTAAAAGCACTTAGAGAGAAAAACATATGAAAAACTCACCTCTTTCTCCTCCATCCATTGTAAAAGTAATTGTAATTTCACTTAACTTTATGTGATTAAAAAAAAAAAAAAAAAAAAAAAAACTATCTCAAATGAAAATACTACACTAAGATTAAACAATATGGCGAACTCACTTTTCTTTCAAAACAAACGGTTCAAGGTCAGTACTTTCACACTCTCAATTAAATTAATTAATTACAAAATTAAAATATATTTATTATAAAAAACTAATTAAAATTGATGCATCATAAAGTAATAAAATTTAACTATCTTTATTCGACTGACTTAAGTTTAACTTCTGAATTGCGTAGTACAAAAATATACGTTTCATAAATTTAGAATGCATTCTCTCAACTCTGATTGGCTGACATAGAAATATCAGAAAATATAAAATGGCGCGAAAACGTTTATTATTCAAATTATATTTTCAATTCTAAAAGTATTATGTGGGTAATGTAACTATTTTTATTATTATTTTTTATTTTTTAGTATTATTATTTTATAGTATTATTTTTTATTTTTCTTTTAAAATTAAAAAAAAAATAAAAATAAAAAATAAAACTTTAAAAATAAAGACAAAAAAATGTCAAACATATTTAATTTTGTGTTTTAAAGTATTAAGGTATTTCAAGAAATTTTAGTTTATGGTAATTATTTTCTATATTTTCTTTTTTTTTTTAATAATGAATAAATTTTTTTCAAAATATTACAAGTCACTTTTTAAAATACCTAATCATTGTAAATTTTACATTATTTTATTTTGGTTTTTAACTAAAAGTAAACTTTGTTCTTAAACAAAAATGATTTCATCAGGATAATGAATACAATGTAAAACAAATATTTTTAAATTTTTTGTTTTTATAAAAGTACAATTTCTGACTGTTTTTATAAAAATACAATTTTTGATTATTTCTTTCACATCTTATGCTTGAAAAAAAAAAAAACATTTAATCTAAGTAAGGGATAATGTAATTATCAATTACAGTCTGATTTTTTCTCCATGCCAAATGTCTTACTCCATCTACAATAAAAACCTTTAATTTATTATTTTCATCAAGAGTTTTAAGTCCGCAATAATCGTCCTTATAAAGTGTCCTATCCTGCATCATTTCCACTGTTTCATTGTCATTATAATATCCAAACACACTAAAAAAATATACAAAAAATTATTGTAAAAAATACAAGAATTAAATGTTTCAATTAAAAATATACCTGGATTGCCAAGGTGTTATGATTTCATCCTCAGGCCCACCAATCAATATCATTTTTTCCAAGTTTGTTAGTCCTTCTTTATAATTTGGATCCCTTTTACTGGGTACTTCATTATTAATAACTGGTAAGAAAATACTATAATTGTAATATAAATCTTGTTTGTGTGGATCATTCCAATAATTTCCAACTGCTATCCATTGGCCAGCATTTGTATAAAAGAGTTTGTAAGCTTCTTCTTTCACAACACCAGGAAATAAAATGTGCAAAAACTGAGCTAAAATAAATTAATTTTTTTTTTTTTCTAAATTAAAAGGTAAAAGGTTATAATAAATTAAATTTACATGAAACTTACTTCCATATTGTCCAGCTTGTGGAGAACTCAAAGAAATAAATGTTTTAACATTGTGATTTGGATATTTTTGTAATATTCCTCTGGCTATAAGTCCTCCTTGGGAATAACCAATTAAATGTATTCCATCTGGATATTTTGAAGAAAAATCTAATAAATCTTCTCCAATTTTTTCAACTTGAATCCACATTGGTTCCAAACTACCAATGTCATCATAACGATCACATGAAGAAACTATTGTAGATGGATGAAGCTATCAGTTATGAAAATTTATGAAATTTCACTTTAATTATTTACGTGTAACGTAAATAAACAACGTGATTATAAAAGCATAGGCATTTAAATACTTGGGATCAAAGTTTTTTTTTTTTTTTTTTTTATAATTTACAATAAATAAATAAAATTAAAATATATTTTGATTTGTTATGTATAAATAACATAATTTTAAAAGTCACATACATACATACATACATACCTGTTTAATGCGTTTTTCTAATATTTTCATACTGACATTTTTACTTAATATTCCATGAATAATAAAAACTGGTTTGTAACATAAACAATTTTCAATAAAAATAAATAAAAAAAAACAAATTAAAATAAAATCCGTAAAAAAAAACTTCATTTTTGAAAAAAAAAAAAAAAACAGATGGAAAATAAAAATAAAATTACTTAACAATGAAACTATAGTAGTAGTAGTTCATAGGTCAAAATTTACTGATTTAATTAAATCAAAATAAAAATAGTTATTTTTACATTGGCAAACATAGTTAAACTACTGAAAAAAAAAAAAACGAAAATTAGCATTCGACCAATTGTATATTGAAAAAAAAAAAAAAATTTTTAACGGATATTGCACAATTAAATTTCAAGTTCAAATGACAAATATTATTTATCGCGAGAACTATGTTCTCTTTGAAAAATTTCATTTAAAACGTACGTTAATTTTTTTTAAACATTATTTCACGATTGTTTAAAAAGTAATTAAAAATACTTTATTACCATGTTTTTTTTTTTTTTTTTAAATTAAAAAAAAAAAAAGCAAATAAACGTTTTTTTTTTTAATAAACATTTTTTTTTAAAATTAAAAATTAGTTTTATATTTTTTTATTTCAACCATTATATGATGTATATTAGTCAATTGACTTTTTGCATTTGGAGTTAAAAGTTTATGAAATCTATGATAATATTGCACAAGTGTTGTTAATGCTAATTGTAACAAAGCTCCACCGGTAACCAATGATGGAAAAGATCTAAGAATTTCAGATTGTAATTCTTCTAATGATTTTTTCCAAGTGTTGGAAAAAGATTGTACAAGTTGTAAAGATTTTCCTGCAAAATAAAATAAATATAATTGACTTATTATTCTTGTTGCCACGGTTTAAATGCTTTTATTGGAAACTTATAAAAATGCTAACTTTCTAAATGTTTCAATTCATCATGTTGTTCTTTTTCTAACATGCTTTCACTTTCTCTTACAAATTGAATAATACCCCCGAAATGTGGTGAAAGAATTTCTTCCACGTATTCATTTGATCTCGTCGTCAATTGATTTCTAAAAGCTTCTGCTTCTTTACAATGATCTTTTGTTCTTTCCTACAAAAAATTTTATGGTCATATTAAGCATTTCCTACGATTAAGCACTTTTTAATATTAGTTTTTAGTACAATAAAATTATTTAAATATTTAACTCCTAAAGTATGTTGCAAATTTTTTTATTAAAGCATAGATGTTTACCATTAACACGCTTAAAATCATATCGTAATTATTTATTAAAAAAATTAATTGATCTTTTCTCTGTTGAAACACGGCCGCCATTTTTAAAATGAATAATTCTACCTAAAAAAAAAAAAAAAAAAAAAATAGAGAAAAAAATATTTTTTTAATCGTTTACAAAGTTACAACGACTTATACATTGAATGTAGACAAAAAAAAAAAAAAAAAAACATAAAACAAACTTCTTCTTGTAATTGTGTTAGCAAATCGTTAACTAAATCGTTGGGAAAACTTTCACTTAATCCAATCATTGCTCCACTAAGCTCGGCATACCGTCTAGCAACGTAATGGGGCCCCATTTCTTTACCTAATT